AGCTCGAACCCTTTCAACACAACTTTCCCAGCAAGTCTCTGATAATGATTTAAGCGTGAAACCTCCTACCATCTCCTTTAATAACTCCCACCTATTTGTAGATGATGAAAACAAACAATATATTTTTTGAATGATTCCAAAGAATGAAATTCCTTTTGGAGCTGATTTCGTCATATCACAAAGTGCCAAATTAAGACTGTGGCAACCACAAGGCGGTAAAATGCTCTTGGATTGATATCAAGCAATCTTCTCTGCACTCCCTTGTGTTTTCCTTTCATATTAGACCTTTTGTCATAGCCTTGTCCTCTCACATCATCAATATTCAAATTGAGATAAACTAACGTATTACAAAGCAGCTCAAAAAGTCCTTCTCCAGATTTATCTGCAACTTCTAAGAATGTCACAAAAAATTCTCTAACCTGCGTTTATAGCCATGGAGACATCCACACATCTGATAATAAGACTCTTTGTTCTTTATGACTCTTATCTGGAGTGCAATCGAGAATAACAGAAAAATACTTTGCCTCTTGAATTGTCTTGATGATCATAAGTTTAACCTCAGAACACATCATAACAATCAACTCATCCTGAATTCTGTGGCTCAGATAATGATAGTAGTCTCACCTTCTTTACCCCGTCTGATATGCTCTCGCATTACTGGATCGAATTTCTCAAATGATTCAACAAAACTCAGAAAGTTTCTATTGTTTCTTTGACCAAGCTTCTCATTAGTTCCACGAAATGCCAAATTCTGTTTAGCAAGAGTTGTCACCAATGGAAATATTCTCAACAAAACCTCTCGCCAATGGTTTTTCTCTTTGTTGATTTCTTCTTGGAGACAGTTATCAATGGTTTGATTCTTTCTTTGCCTCAATTCTAATTCCATCTATTGACTCATGCACACAATATGACAATGACTAGCTTCATGTTGGCTCAGTCTGACCCTAACATTCTCCAATCATTAAGCCCCTTGCTTGACAACTGAACGACATCTTGATCCCAACCAAACAACTTGCAGCAAAAGCAATATACTCTGTCTGATACTTTTGAATAAAGTAGCCAATTCCTATCTTGTCTATCTTTACTTTTCATCTCTCTTTTGTAATACCTATGGGAAAAATGTCTCCCGCGATCCTTTTTTGGAAATATGTAGTTCTCCTGTCCTCTTTTCATAGGACCGTTTTCCACTAGAAAATCTTTCACACTCTAATCAATTATTTTCCAGTTTGCAGGATCAGTTTTATCCACAATCCCTTCATGTTCACCAATATTCACATCTTCTTTAGGTAGATTCTCGTTTTCCTCTGCCTTATCAATGTTATCATTCACTAAACAAGTAGGATTTTCATCACCAAATTCACGACACTCATCAGTATTAAGAGTTTTTGATCTTTTAACAAACCTCAACAAGGAGCCAGCTAGAGACTTGTCCTCTTCCTTTCTTCTTCACTTCTCTGTTAACTTTTGAGCTCCTGTTTTACACTTTGTTTTTCGTATTGAAATTCCTGGAAATTTCATCGAGAAAACAAAATAATAAGAATTGATTTTCTGATCAAACTTTCAATCTCAAAGTGAAATTTATCCTACTCTCAAAATTCAGTTCTATTGTTTGTAAATTACACTATGTACAACTTCGAACAATTCTGTGTTTGCATTTATCAAGTTTGTAATACCTGGTTAAACTAGATACAAGTATGAATAATTCTGTGTTTGCATTTAACAAGTTTGCAATACCAAATTAAACTAGGTACAAGTATAAACAATTATGGGTTGACCTAGTTAAATTTGCATTGCCAAGTTTAACTGGGTACACCTATGAGCATTTCTGGCTTTGTATTGTACATGTAGTTGCATATTTGTAAGTATCATCAATTTGATATATATTGCACTACAAAAATATTGTACATGATAATTAATTATCTAAAATAAATTGTACAACTATACCACAATAATTTAAAAGAAGGTTCAACTACAAATATCTTAAAATCAGCAAAGTATAACTATTCATACTTTTGTTCAACAAATATGAAAAAAAATTAACAAGTATGTAATAAGTATGGAACGACTAACAATTATGGAATACTATAAGAAAATAATTAGTAATGATGAAATTTAAAACTAAACCAAACAATTATGATACTAATAAGCAAAATAATGTTCTTACATCAATTACTCCTTATAATATAAGGAAGACATAAGTAATGTTAACCATATTAGACTCATAATAAGCAAAATATTAGATTATTCACAAATTATATTATAAAAATGTTGTAAATGAGGTTTTAAAAACTCAAAATCATTTGTACAACTGCATCATAATATTGTATGGAAATGTTTAACAAGAAATACCGTAAAATCGCAAAAGTACAACTATTATTAATTTTGTTCAACTCTTAGTTTGGTGACAACTAAGTGTATGTTTCCTAAAAATTTAACAATTTTTTAATATTCCTGTCAGTGGGATTTCGGATTTTCAAGCAATTTTTTTTTTGAAATTAATAAATATCTCTAATCTCCAATATACAAAATCCCAAAAATCTTTAAAGGAAGATTCAACTACAAATATCCTAAAATCGCAAAAATACAGCTATTCGTATTTTTGTTCAATAATTGTAAAAAAATTAACAAGTATATAATAAGTATGGAATGACTAACAATTATGAAATATTATTAAAAAAAATTAACAATGATGAAATTTAAAATTAAACCAAATAATTATAAAAATAATAAGCAAAATGATGTTCTTACATCAACTACTCTATTTTTCAAACTCTTGAAGAGGTCTTCTAATATATTCGAAGATGTCTTCTACTTAAGTAAATATTTGAACCAAATATTTCAGTTGTACGAAAAAACTTAATCTTTTGAACCAAGTAATTCACTTGTAGGAAATAAGTTGTCTCTTTAAGATCTAGTTTTACTTTATAAAAATCAGGTATATCGTAAATTATGATGTCAGTTGTACCTATTTAAACGTAGTTGTACAATAAACACTGTTGTATCATAACTTCAGTTGTACCTAATAAAATCCAATTGTTCCAAAATCTTGCATTATAATTTCATCAAAAACCCAAACAAGTTCATAAAAGATAACATAACACTTTATCAAACAAGTTCAAAAACCCAAACAAGTTCATAAACCATCTCACTTTTCTTCAAGATTTACATTTCCCCTTTCTTCTTTTCTTCCTCTTGGTCTTTCCTTTGGGTTTCTTCCTCTCGGCCTTTTCTTTGTGTTTCTCCCCAATATCAGAAGGAGTGTAGCAATCAGGTTGCAATGGTGGCGTTTCATCCCCCTTATCCTACAAATTCAAGCACACTTTTATTTAACCGTTCAACAAATTAATTTTTAGTTGAACCTACTAAACGCCGTTGAACCTACCTAACATAGTTGAACCTATTAATACTTTGTTGAATCTACCAGCCGCAGCTGAATTTACCAAACATAGTTGAACATTGTAATATTAGTTGAACATATCAAAGTGTATTTAAACCTAGTTTAACCTCATATTACATTCTTAGCCAAAATACTACTTAGTTTTCCTAGTTGTCCACATCACTAATTCATTCTAACACTTATTCATCCATTCTCCAATCTCACTCTCAAGGTAAACAAAATATGTAAGTCTCAAGTATATGTAAATAATACCTCATGCTGAGGAGAAGACTCTTCGTCTTCTTAGGGAGCAGACTTATCTTCCTCGAATGTTTAGTTAAACAATACCATGGGTCCATATAAGTTCATCTCTTCTGGAGTTTGGGGATTTTCAGATTCTGGAGTTTTTTTCTGGTTGTGGAGTTTCAGGATTTTTGGCTTATACAGATTCGGGATTCTCAGGACAAACCACTTCGATTGCAGGAGCAAACACTTCGGTTTCAGGAGGAACTTCCACTTTGGTTCCTGTTTCTATTGGTGCTTTTGTGTTGGGTCTTTCTGTGGTTGTTGTAGCCGTGGTTGCTACTTCAGTTTCAGGAGAAATTACCACTTTGATTCTTGTTTTCTATATATTTTATGTTGATTCATATTCCCCAGTAGCGTCTCTCACCTTAGCTATCTCTAAAAACAAAAAATCCGACATCATTAGTTTTCTAATATCAAGCAAAACCGTCACAATTGACAATTTAATTGAACAAATAGATTGACTTACCTTAGCTTTTTAGAAGAAATCAAGCAAGGAAGAGGAAAGGACGGAGGAGTAGAGAGCTCGAGTAGAGAGACAAAGAAAAGGAGAAAGAAACGACAAAAGAGGAAGAAAGAAAAAAAACAGATGATTTGCTCTTTATAGGAGTAGTCTCGGTGCTCCCTGAAAAGAAGAGAAAGAGGATGGTAACTTAGAGCATCTCCAATCTATTGCTATTTTTCCTCGACTTTTAGATGAAAAAATAGATGTGTCATTTTTGTTCTCCAATCCACCTCTATTTTAGAGGAAAAAATAGAGATGCTACTTTTTCCTTCAAATATAGAGGAAAAAATAGGTTTCTCTATATTTTCCTCAAGAATAGAGGTATTCCTCTAAAATAGAGGTGGATTGGAGAGAAATCTACCTCTATTTTAGAGTTCCTCTATATTAGAGGAAAAAATAGCAAAATGGATTGGAGATGGTCTTAGACTCTGATTGGTTTTAGGCTTTTAATGTTAAGATTTTTAAATTAGTGGATTTTAAAATTTATGACTGTTTATGACATATTTTATGTTGATTCATAAGAGTTAGAACATACTCTCTCTGTTCCATAATATAAGTTGTTTTGATTTGTTTCAAAATATAAGTTGTTTTTACATTTTTATATAATGTTATATGTATTGGATAGTGTGTGACCAATTATAATTTTTCATCATTGCTTTACTTATATTTTGAATAATATATGTAAAAATATTTTTTTAAACAGAAACACTTTTATTTTTCCGGCAAACTTAATATTTATTAACAAAAGTAACGAAGTACATAGTTTTGTTTGTTAACACGAGCTATCTTAACCAAAGTGGAAATTACAGATAACACCGTTCGCGAGATACAAACAAAGATGTGGTGCGACGACTTTGCTAACCGATATATGTCTTGAACATCCATTGTAATGGAGTGAAGTGTAGTGTCAGTTTCCTTGTCGTCAGCTGAAATACTAAGTGGTAGATATAACGGTGAACAAGCTCCCAGAAAAGTTACTTCCTTGTAATTAAGCTTTGTGATTTCTTGCACCGCCATTTTCAGGGCCATAGCTTCAGCTTCTTCTGGAGTTTGCAGGGGGTTTATGGAACATGAACCTTAAGGATTAATTTAGCTTCTCGGTTATATAACTGGAAAGCCACTCCAGCAGTTGTGTTTGGTGCAATCCAAGAGGCAGCCACACAACAACAATAAGAAAGACAAGTACTACAAAGGTGTTGTAGCGAGGCGGCATTATGATGTAAATGAGGCTCCTAGTTGGGCTGAGCATAAGTATCATTAACCTGAACCCAGATGCAATGATGCATAAAAGCTTTAGTAATAATATTGGCTATACTTCGTCGTTTGCTTGTGAAAATGAGCTGATTACGAGCTTTCCAAATTTCCCAACCAATAAATGGAATTAACGAACTTGCTAGTGTCTTAGCAGAAATTATAAGAAACAGTGCTTCTAAATTAGAGAATAAAGTCATAGACGTAAAGGTTAAATCACTTGAAAGGTGGGGGAAAGATAATGCCCATACCTTTTGCGAAATAGTGCAGCGGAAAAGAAGATGATTGAGAGATTCATCTGCTTGACCACAAAGCTGGCATGTAGCGTCAATTAAAACTCCCCGCCTGCGAAGCTGAGAAGCAACAGGTAAACTGTCATGAAGAACTCGCCACCAGAAAGATTTAAGTCTTGGAGGAGCATTTGTTTTCCAAACAGTTTTAAACAAAGACGAGTTTGCAGTAAGATGTACAAGAGAAGAGGAATGCTCAGTTATTAGGTTTCGCATAACAAAATATCCTGATTTAACAGTAGAGAAACCATGCGGCGTATGAATCCAAGAGAGAGTATCCCTTACATTAGTGATTGATGGACAAATGCGATTGATTTGTTGAACATCACTTGGTACGAAGAGGGTATGTAACTTATCCTGATCCCACTGATGAGTACCTGATATAATAAGATCAGAGACTTTTAGCTTAAGATAATACCTGGGGCATACAGGCATTGGAGGTCTCGGAGGATTTAAAAGAATCCATGGATCAGACAAAATATTCAAATTTTCACCATTACCAACATGCCACAAAATAGCCCTGGGCATTTGACCCGGATCCGGTGGATCCGAACCGACCCGATCCAAAAAAACCGATTTGGTTCGGATTCGGTTCTCATCAAATAACTGATTAGTTTTTGAATATATTTACTTTGGTTCTCGGTTCGGTTCGGGTTAAACCCGATAACCGAACCAATAAAAACCAAACCAAATTTTATAACTAGTAATGTAATATTATGTCGAAAACTTTATATTAATATATCATGAACATCATAACTTTATTTATTTATCGAACGTTTCCCACTTCCCACTTCCCACTTTTATTTTTTTCCCCTCTTGTATGAAATCCCTAATTACAAACGCTGGAAAACTTAATCCTCCATCGCTTTACTCCTCCATCGAGACCTCCTCTATCATTTTTCTGAGAAATCAGTACCTTCTTTTCCTTTTATCTTCACTTCTTCTCCTTTTCTCTTATTTTCTTCAATTTTCCTTCTCTTTATCTTCTCTGATTTAAGCGCAAGGGGAAGACTTCCTGATTTTCCTTTGTTAGAAGTTTCGATTGGAGCTTGGAAGTTGGTTTCAACTTCCGGGATTATCTTCAACGGTTTTGTCCATGAACCTAGGAAGGAGTGAAGAGAGGCGGAGGGTGAACAACGGATTCAACCACATTATTTTTGCCTTTAGATGAAGGAGAACTTGGAGGGTCTACATCTATGGAGTAGAGGAAAGAAATGATGTGAATAAGAGAGAAGATATAGTTGACGCACGCCAGAGGCAACGACGGCTCAAAGAATGGCGGAGTCGCCGAGGAAGAAGAGATTTTTAGTTCGGGTCCAAGTAAACAAATCGGGTCCAATTTTTAATTTTTCAGACCCGACAATTATAAGTTCGGGTCCAATTCGGTTCCTTTCAATTTTTACAAACCCGACCTGACCCGAGCACTACCTGACCCGACTCGACCCGAATTTTTACCGGGTCTTAAATGGGTCTTATGCCTTCCTACCTGAATTACCCGAACCCCGATCGACCCGACCCGACCCGATCCGAAGATCCGAATGCCCATGACTACCACAGAAGACCAGTTTTTAAGAGCTTTTGAGCACTAAAAATACTTTGCCAGGCATAACTAGAATGTCGTTTAGAAGCAGCTTGGAGAAAGGTGGTTGTAGGATAGTACTTAGCTTTATAAACTTGGGCTAACAAGGAAGAAGGATGCTTCATTAATCGCCATCCCTGTTTAGCTAACATAGCAAGATAAAAAATCCCCGAAATCTCTAAATCCTAACCCTCCTTTAGATTTCAGTTCCACCATTTTATTCCAAGCAACCCAAGAAATTTTTCTTCGATCTGGACTATTGGACCACCAGAAACGTTTAATATCAACCATCAATTGGTTAATAAGGTGTTTAGGCAACAGAAAACAACTCATAGTATATGTTGGGATGGCAGTAATGATCGACTTAATTAAGACCTCCTTACCAGCAGGCGACAACAATTTAGCAGACCAACTAGCAAGCTTTTGATGAATTCTCTGCTTTAAATAAGCAAAACTGTCAACTCTACTTCGGCCTATTGACTTGGCACACCTAAATATTTACCAAAACCTCTAACCTTTGTTATCTGAAGTAAATGCGAGAGGTCAGTGATAGTAGATTGGAGAGTACCTTTGCTAAACAGAATTGATGACTCTGTATAATTGATATACTGCCCGAACGCATGACCATATAGAGCCAGGGCATTCTTTAGCGTTTGGTCATCCTTGATAGTTGCACCTGAAAAAAAGTAGAGAGTCATCAGCAAAGAACAGATGTGTAATTACTGGACCCCCACGAGAAGCTTTGTATCCGAGTAAATCTTCTTGTGCAGCTAATTTCTTTAAAAAAGAAGAAAGCGCTTCCGTGCAAAGTAAATAGAGGTACGGAGAGATTGGGTCCCCTTGATGAATACCGCTTTGTAGAAAAATCCGATGAGTAGGCGCTCCATTAATAAGCACAGAGTAAGAGACAGAGCTAATACATGTCATAATCCAGGCTCTCGATTGTGCGTGAAACCCCATCTTGTCCATTACTGCATCCAAAAAAGTCCATTCAACATTATCAAAAGCCTTAGAAATATCCAATTTGAGAGCCATGAAGTGACACTTTAAACGTTTAGTTTGCAAGGAGTGTAAAAATTCATGAGCTATAAATATATTGTCAGTGACAAGTCGCCCTGATATGAATGCTGCTTGAGTATCAGATATAAGATCGTCCAAACAGGGCTTAAACCTATTAGCTAGAACCTTAGAGATGATCTTATAAGCGATATTAGATAAACTAATAGGTCTATAATCTTTAAGAGAAGTAGGAGATACATTTTTAGGAAGGAGACAAATATGCGTATGGTTGATTTCAGGAGCTAAATAACCTTCTTGAATGAATGCTTCAACAAAATAACAAACACTGCCATCAGGACCAGGAGCTTTTTCAGAAGGAATACTAAACACCGCTTGTTTAATCTCTTCCCTAGTTACTGGCGCAATAAGTTTCTGATTCATAGCATGAGTAATTGTCAAAGGAATACCTGCTAAGAACGCCTGATCGATCTTAGGATGCTGTGTAGTGTACAGTTGAGTAAAATATTCCTGGAATTTGCTTTGAATGGCTTGAGGAGTAGTATACACCGTACCATCATCATCTTCAAGCACAATCAATTGTTATAAAAACGTCGCTGCTTGGTTTTTGCATGAAAATATTTAGTATTTCGATCCCCTGCCTTTAGCCAATGCTCGCTACTCTTAGCTTTCCAATACTCCTCTTCCAACCTGAAAGCAGTCATTAGCTTCGTCTTCAAAAAACTTATATAATGAAAGTCCAGGGTAAAACTATTATACGCTTGATGAAGAGATTGTTTTAACTCATCAATCTGTTTACGGGAATTGGTATTGGTAGTGCGTTTCCACCGTGCAAGAGCATCTCGACAGTGAGCAATAGCTTGACCAAACTGATGTGGAGGAAGATGTTGACATCGCTCCTGCCAAGCTGTGGAAACAACTTCTTTAACGTGAGGATCATGCCGCCATCGATTATCGTATTTGAAAAATTTCTTATATTTCCACGCCTTAGAATCCGTGTATACCAGTAATGGCCGGTGATCAAAACCCATCCAAGTAAGTAATTGAGTATACGCTGAGGGAAACAGATCGGACCATAAAGTATTAACCATAGCTCGATCAATCTTTGATCGAACCACATACGCATGACGAGAACCAACCCATGTAAAGTTGCCACCAATAGTTTGCAGATCGTGTAATCTGTTACTAGCAATCATAGATCGAAAAGCTTCAAAGCTTGATTCTGATCGAAGACGACCGCCAGCTTTCTCATCATTAGATGTGATGTCATTAAAATCACCGAAAACTAGTCTTGGAGTAACATGATATAACAGTGCTCGTCTTTGCATTCGTCGCCAGAGATCCTGTCTTGGCTGCTTAGTTGGAGGACTGTAGACATAACTTATACAATAAGTAGTGGAGCCTTCCCGAATATACACATCTGTAAAATTTAGGGAAGGATTGCAGACTTGAACATGAACATGGTGATCCCAAAAGATAGCTAATCCGCCACTAGTACCGTGAGCTGGAATAATATACTGATGAGGGTATTGAAGGGTTGAGCAAACACTTTGTACATATGGTACAACATTTTTAGTCTCCACTAGGAACATTACATCAGGAGATTTAGCTCGACGAATCTCTGGGAGATGCTAAACTGTCAAGAGGTTCCTTAAAACTTGATAGATCCAATGCAAATTTCTCATTGATACGATGGTGGCTTCGGGGTTGCCACCTCCCCTTGATCAACAGCCGTTTTTTTAACTCGAGTAACATGCCATTGTCTTGTGGTAGACGCTTCATCCTCTATATCCATCTGCAAAGCCTTTCGCTTAGTGCCCCGAATGGCAGCGTTATCATCTTGAGGAGGAGAACCAGGCACAGATGGATCCTGAGGTACAAGTAAAATGGAAATCAGTGCCAGCGATTTCATGTTGATGTACCTGCTCCTCATTATGCAGATTAGACTCAACATTCTCGCCCATAGTATCATCACGCCCATCATTCAGAGAATGTGTAGGGGAATGAGTAACATGATATCTTTCGCCGGAGGCCACCTCAGGAGCCTGAGCAGGTATGATAGTACCAATCGGATGTATAGGAGAGTTTTGGAGTTCTTCCATAGAGTAGTCAGGAACCAGAGATCTATGTCTTTGAGAAGTCCCAATGTGCGGAAGAGGAATCCCTGATTCAAGAAGCTGCTGCTGAGTCATAGAAACATCAGAATGACCATCCTCAACTCTCCCTTAGTAATATACATCACCTTCATAGTGACAGACCGCATCACTATGTGTAAGAGCTCCACATATGAAGTAGAATTTTCTTAACTTCTTGTAAAAGAATCGAACCATTGTGAGCTGACCAGGCTCAAATTCCAAGTAACGGATGAAAATGAGTCGATAATTAACCTTCTTGCGGACATGAATCCAGACTTCACTATCCGCATCAGCAGTTGCCTCAGTAATTTTAATCTCATCGACAATACCCAGTATGTCTCCAACTTCATAAATAATTTCATCAGATCTATACTCTTCAGGAATATGCAGGATTTTGACACAGAAGGAGATGGTAAGGAGGAAGTCTGGTTCATCCCGACGGATCCATCGATCTATAGCAACCATCCAGTTATTACAGTTCCATGGTCCATGCTCCAATACATTCATCAGATGATGCTTAGCTTTGAAATAGAATTGGACAGTACCATCATTATTGATGCGACTTGTGATTCGACCTTCCATTTTCCAGGCCTTAGGAAGCAAGATTTTGAGATCCAAGGACTTTTGTTGAGTCAAATTAAGAGCAGTGGCAAGTAAACTGAGACGATTGTTATTCATTCGAACTCTACGAGTTGCCTCCAAAATTGGCTTGGAAGCTCTACTTTCACCCCACCAAACTGAGATTTTGCAACGCCTCCTAAACATTATCCATAATTCTATAAAATTAAAGGTAGAAGATGATTGTTGTGGTTCCGGTAAAGATTCCAGAAGAGATAACACCGTAAAAAATGGTAAACTGAGCACCTAAAATTAAGTCGGTGAACAAAAAAAATAAAGCGGTGGACAATCGCCTAGAAATGTCGAAAGAGAGAAGAAAACACTTTTTTTTTTGTCAACAGCCTTATCCTTACAACGGTTCGGAGATCCAAACTGGTGGGGATGAGTTTACATAATTTAATCTATAAAGGTAGTCTCGAGCACTCCGTGCTAACTTGTCTGCCTTTGTATTTTCAGCGCGTGAGATATGTGAGATAGAAAAGAGTTGAAATTCTCTCCTGCTGGTCTCATATTCCTCCAAATGTGATGCGAAGGCCGGCCATTCTTCTGGTTTGGACACCATCTTCACCAATTCTGAACAGTTTGTAACGAAAGCCATCGCCAATCTTCCTGCATTGAGCATGCAATGCATTGCCCAAATTATAGCCTCCATCTCAGTATGTAACGGAGAAATACTTTGCCGTACATTTCTTGCCCCCATTAGCGTTCTTTCTGATCCTACTTCTGGACAATACCAGCCCAACCCAGCGTTGACTGCTGATTCCTTCCAGGACCCATCTGTATAACATATTAAGCCCTCGTTCCTTGTTGTCTGGACTTCGGTCGGACCTGAATTTTGCAATTGTTCCAAATCAGTTTGTGCCAAAGCCCATGCTATTGCCTTTGCTTGTGCGATTCTTAACACTTCTCGTGGATCCTGATCAATATTCGAATATATTTTATCATTTCTTGATTTCCAGATATACCAAAGAATCCAAGGAAAAACTTCCATTTCTTCCGTATTTGGTAGTGACCAAAATAGGTGTGCCATATTCGTATAAATGGCTGCCGAAGGGAATCCTGACGTAGGTGTTATGATCACCGATAATGCCCAGACTTGGAGAGCTGGGGGGCATTCAAATAAGGTGTGATTAATAGTTTCCCGATCCGCGCCGCATCGTCCGCATTGTGGGTCACGAGTAACACCTCTACTATGTAGTTTATCCATAACCAATATACATCCTGAAATGATTTGCCATATAAAGTGCTTCATTTTGGGAGGGCATTTAAGCATGACTCTGCAGATGAACTATATTTGGTCCATAATATTTTCTTGCATTGTCACCTTTGTAATCCTGTTCCGTATTGTTGCCCGACTTAACCGTATATTTTCTGGATTTTGTGTAAAACCATGTACATAGATCTGGTCTGTGTCCTCTACTTGTGGGGATCCCCGTAATATAAGGAATATCTTCTAGAACAATGAGTTGTTCGATGAGCGGTAAGTTCCAGGTTTTTGTTGAAGAATCGATCAAATTATTGACTTTAAGGTCGGGATACAAATTGTAACCCCGACATGTTGCTGACCTCGGGCGAGTAGCCGGTATCCAGAGGTCATTCCAAACGGAAATAGAGTCCCCTGAGCCTACCCTTTTAATGAGCCCTTTTTTTACCAGAGATCGAGCCGAAATGATACTCTGCCATCCATAGGATGCTGAGTATGAACGAATAGGGTCTAAGGGTCTCCCATTTCGATAGTATTGCCCTTTGAACACTTTTGCAAATAATGAATTTGGATGGTCTAGGAGGCGCCATAATTGTTTCGCCAATAGGGCTGTATTGAAATCCTCTATAATCCAGAAACCTATACCTCCTTCCGTTCTATGTTTGCATAATTTATCCCATGATAGCCAGTGCATCCCCCGATTTTGACCATTAGTACTCTACCAGAAGTGTGAGATAGTACTGGTGAGTTTTCTGGTGATTGCCTTTGGCAAACGAAAGCAAGACATAACATATGTTGACATCGCTGAAGCCACTGATTTGATCAACACCTCCTTCCCTCCCTTAGAAAGGAGTCGAGAAGTCCAACCGCTTACCCGTTTCTGCTGTCGTGCCACTAGAAAATTAAAAATCTTAGTCTTTGCGCCCCCCAGACTTTCAGGAATCCCTAAATATTTGCCCATTCCACCAACATTTGTTATTTGTAATGTTTGATGTATTTCTTCCTTAACTACTGGTTCTATCGTATGCCCAAATTGGACCGAGGATTTTCCGAAGTTTATCTGTTGTCCTGAGACATCTTCATATTGTTTTAAAATACTTAGTAAGAGATTTGTCTCCTCCTTTGTTGCCTTACAAAAAAATAGGCTATCATCTGCGAAAAATAAATGTGAGATCGCAGGACAACCGTGAGCCACCTTCATCCCTGTGATGAGCTTCATGTGTTCTGCTTTTTTCAGATTTGCTGTTAACACCTCCGTACATAGAATAAAAAGGTATGGAGATAACGGGTCCCCCTGTCTAAGTCCCCTCTTAGGTGTTATCTGTCCTCTTGGCTCCCCGTTGAGTAGAACCTTATATTGTACTGATTGTATACTCCACATCGTCCATGATATCTATTTTTCTGCAAACCCCATTTTCCGAAGCAAATGCTCAATAAAAGGCCATTCGACACGATCATAAGCTTTACTCATATCTGTTTTTACCACCATGAATCTTTTCTGACATGATTTATTGGTCTGTAGCCCATGAAACATTTCCTGGGCAATGAGTATGTTATCCGAGATGAGTCTACCAGCAACGAAAGCTGACTGCGTTTCAGAGACTAATTTTGGTTATAACCGTCAAAATCGTTGACATAAAACTTTGGAAATGATTTTGTAACCCACATTACATAAACTTATCGGTCGCAACTCCGGCATTTTTGTTGGTCGTTCCGTTTTTGGGATGAGACATATGTGTGTCATATTTAACCGTCGGTCAAAAACTCATGATCCCAAAAAATCATTAACCATTTGTATCACTTCTTGCTTTATAATAGGCCATGATTGCTGGTAAAAAAGCGCTGTCATTCCATCAGGTCCTGGTGCTTTTTCCGGATGCATCATAAACAGCGCCGTTTTTACCTCATCTTTTGTCGCCGGTTTTGTTAAACCTTTATTATCCGCCTTTGTTACCATTGTTTGAACTTCCTCTAGTGCCTCCGTGAAGGATGTATGAGAGGTGGATGTAAATAATTCCGTGAAATAGTCCACCGCCACCTTCTCCATATTTTTCTCCCCAGCCACCCAAACCCCATTGGTATTATATAATCCTACCAATCTATTTATTGTTTACCGTTGTTTTGTTGTCGCATGATAAAATTTTATATTGAGATCTCCACTTCGGTTCCACAAGTTTCTGCTTTTCTGTTGCCAAAATTCCTCTTCATCTTTATATGCTTCCTTTAGTTTCCGGGTGATATCTAAAACCTCCTCTTGTGTTCTTGTATCGTCATTTTGTACGCTTTCCAAGCACTGTTGAAGCTGTTTTATAGTGTCCTTCCTATAAGGTCTATTTTCCTTTCGCCATTTCGAGATTTCATGTCTACACCTTGTAATTCTATCTACTATCGATTGTCTCTCCCATCCCTCTAGTTGCTGCCAACCATATTGAATGGATTCCATAAGACTCTGTTTTCCAATCAACCGTTTATCAAACCGAAATTGTTTCCATCTTGGATATTGCTTTGCTTGTACTGTTGCCACAATTGGTCTGTGATCCGATCCTACCAACCGGAGATATTCTACATAGGAATACGGGAATAAATCATGCCAGTTTCCGGTAGCCAAAGCTCTGTCTAATCTGCACCAAATCGTTTGACCACTTCTCCGACCCCGCCATGATAGTTTATTACCTCTATTTTGGAAGTCCAATAAACCACAATTACTTATCATTACATTAAAATCTACGAAGGATGATGGTGACGAAGATTTCCTCGTTGTTTTTCATGATTTCCTGTGATTTCATTGAAATCACCAATTAGAAACCATGAGTCATTCCTAGTGATCCCCATTCTTGTTAATCGCTCCTAGACTTGGTTTCTGAATTTTGTAACAGGATTATCGTATATAGAAGTCAAAAATATTTTTTTCCCTTTATATAAAGCCTCAATATCAATCATCCATTTATTTGCAAATAAGACTTGAATATCATAGTCATTATTATAAAATAAAGCCAAACCACCACTTAAACCTATAGGTTTACCGTATACAATTTATTATACTCGAAATGAAATTGAAATTGCTGAATAAATGAGAAAACACTTTTCTTAATATCTATACATCCAGCTAAAACAATTTATAATTTGAAACAGAGGAAATATTTATTTACTTCGATTTCGTGGCATTTCAGCAATCATCCCCAATTTGAGCCTAAATGTAAACCGAAATTCTAATTGCGGAAAGTATACCAGTAACAATAAGTCAATAAAGCCTAAATTAACCGGCTTTCTCCTTCTATGCCCTTTCTCACTCGCTTCTTCTTCTCCATTGATTCTTCCAAAGCAAGCTTCTTCGATCTTCCTCGTAAGTTATCTCTAATCCCTTAGTACATCTCTTTATCTTTCCGTCTTAGGAGGGATTTAGTTAATGAGATTAATAAAACCCGTTCTAATCTAAAACTGTTAAATTTGGAATCGAGAGATTATGTCTAGGAGATGGTACCTAGTTTTGGATTCGTTGCGTCGCGTTCGTCGCGGCGATGTAGGAACCCTAATTTCGAGTCCCCTTCGCAATCGCACAGTTTGCACATCCTCAAGGGATCTTCTTCCCTCATCATCGAATCACGGTGTTGTGGAGGAGAGTTATTTTCTAGCTGAATTATCTTCATTACTTCCAATTTCATCTAAAACCTCATTGCCCAAAGACGATAATAGCTCGAAGAATCAAGTAGCCATTGATTCCTTTTTGTCGCCGGAGGAAAAACTCAGAGGCGTGATTCTCCAGAAGCTAAAGGGGAAATCTGCTATACAAAAGGCTTTTACTAGTCTCGGTATCGATCTGAGTATCGAAACTGTGGCGAATGTTGTCGATCAAGGGAGTTTAAGCGGCGAAGCAATGGTTACCTTTTTCGATTGGGCGATTCGCGAGCCTGGTGTATCTAAAGATGTTGATAGCTACTATGTGATCTTAAAAGCGTTAGGAAGAAGAAAGTTCTTCTCTTTCATGACTGATGTTTTAAAGGGAATGGCATGTGAAGGTGTTAACCCTGATCTCAAGTGTTTAACCATTGCAATGGATAGCTTCGCCAAGGCTCATTACGTGCGTAAAGCGATACAATTGTTCGAGGAAACCGAAGGTTTCGGTGTGAAATGTAGTAGTACAGAGTCTTTCAATGCGCTGTTGCGTTGTCTCTGCGAGCGTTCTCATGTGAGTGCGGCGAATTCGTTGTTTAATACAAAGAAAGGAGAGATAGCCTTTGACATTTGCACTTACAACATTATGATTAGTGGGTGGTCGAAGCTCGGTGAGATTGAAGAGATGGAGAAGGTCTTGAAGGAGATGATTGAAAATGGGTTCGATCCTGACTGTTTTTCTTTCAGCTACCTTATCGAAGGCTTGGGAAGAGCAGGTCGTGTTAATGATTCCGTTAAGATCTTTGATAGTATCAATGTTCCTGACGCAAATGTTTACAACGCTATGATCAGTAACTTCATTTTTGCTCGAGATTTCGATGAATCTGTGAGGTACTATCGAAAGATGCTTGAGGAGTGTGAACCGAACTTGGAGACTTACTCGAAGCTTGTTTCGGGGTTGATTAAAGGGCGTAGAGTCGCGGATGCGCTTGAGATATACGAAGAGATGTTGTCAAGAAAGTTTGTTCCCGCCACAGGGGTCGTCACCTCTTTCATCAAGCCGCTTTGTTGCTACGGGCCACCACACGCTGCGATGGCTATCTATCAGAAAGCGAGGAAAGCCGGGTGTAAGGTATCGGAGAGTGCTTATAAGCTGCTGCTTAAGCGGCTTTCGAGGTTTGGGAAATGTGGGATGCTGTTGAACGTGTGGTACGAAATGCAAGAGTCTGGATATGCTTCAGATGTGGAAGTCTATGAGTATATTGTGGATGGGCTTTGTAACATTGGGCATTTGGAGAATGCTGTGCTTGTGATGGAAGAAGCTATGCGTAAAGGGTTTTGCCCGAACCGTCTTGTTTATAGTAGGCTAAGTAATAAACTAATTGCTTCGAAGAAAACTGAAATGGCTTATAAGCTTTTTCTGAAGATCAAAGAGGCTCGTCTTAAAGACAATGCTCGTAGATTCTGGAGAAGAAATGGGTGGCACTTTTGATTTTGATGTTTCTGTTGTATATTCACAGGGAAACTGAAAAAAGATCACATCTTCTCCAACTCTAGTCTACTAAACCGTAATAGAGAACACTTGAAAGTTATATTCATTACCTTTTGGTGGTTTAGCCTAAACCAAAAAGCATACTTGTCTCTTTCTAGGCAGCTGGTCGAGTGTTGAATGGAGGCAGTGATTAGGAAATGGCAGCAGAAGCTGAGAAAAGCGAAAGAGGAGATGGAAAAGTGGAAATCGCTTCAAGTTGTATGGGTTTCCCGTTTCAGTAACGTTTCTTCTATCATCCAGAGATTACAGGTATAGCTGGAACCACTGTGTTTGTTGTTCGACATTTTGAAAACTGTATGTGTAATTTTTTTTGGATTGAAAGTAGGAGATTCAGAATCCTGGGAGCTATGGAGCTTTGAGATGCGTTAAAGGGATTGAAAACGCGGTTATGCAGCAACAGATGGAGAATCTGAAGACTCTTCTGCTTTCTATGAGACAAATTTTGTAAGTATTGTTGCTGAAAATGAGAATTTAGATTTCTTCTAGTAGTAATTAAAGTAAAGATTGTTGACATGTAACTTTTTTATGGATGATGATGGAAAGAGAGGAATTCAAAGGATGTGTCTTGACATTTGAGAAGCTACGTCGAGATGGTTCACAATCACTAAAGGTGGAAACGAGCAAGAAGAGAGTAAAGGAACGTATTGGAGTAAAACCTTGTATTGCAGATTGCTTAGAGGGGCTTTCTCTTCTTTATGAGATGCATCAAGCAGAGTAAGCAAAACAGAATCTGCTTTAGGTATTGAGTTATAAAAAAAAATCATCATTCACTGATTTTTTTGTGTGTTTAAAAAACCCTGCAGATACCATCTTAAATCTTCGATCTTTACGGCACTTTCAAGTCTTGTTCTGAAACCAAGGTAAACTTTGGCAAGTTTTATGATTATTGTTTCAAAAATTGGTATTTATGTTCTTTGTTTACTGTTTTGCTATAGTCCTGGCGATCTAAACGCGTTACAATACCTCGTGGTTGATCAGCCAAATATCCCGAGTAATGAAGGTGATAAATATCATTCTTCTTTGATTGTTTTGTATTGTGTTTGAAGAAAATGAAAATTTACATTTCCTGAATGGTTTTTATATTAAAGGTCTGAGTCTGATTTTAGCTTTTCTGTGATATATTTTTTACTGTGCAGTGCAACGCATCTTTGATGTCATTTTCGCTGAAGAGATTAAATGATGTAAAGAGGAAAATGTTTTTTTTTTTTTTTTTCTTTATTTTTGTTCACAAGGCACCTCTATAGTTTCGGTGGATGAAAAACAGTGAGGAGTGTAAGAAAAACGGCAAGCTATATTTATTTAGAGATCAAATGATGTCAACTTGTCGAGCAAATGTTTGAACTTTGAAGGTGTTTTACAAAAAAGGACGTGTTTTAAAGTTATTGGACTATGAAGAGAATAATCTAGCTGTTCCTTGTAAAAATAGGTACTCATTTTAATCACATTTTTTGAAAATATTCTACATTTTCTTATACAATACCGTAGAGCGTAGACTTGGTATTGTATGGTAAGTTTTGGAAATTAGGGAAGAACATGCACAATCTTTTTAAAAAGTCACTTGAAAGTATATATCATTTCTGTAAACGTTTTATCCTTTGTATTTACTAATCTAAAATGTTTGTGAATACGATACATCTTTAATTCTTTATACACGAGCTTCAGACATGTGCATCTTTATACATGAGCTATATAATGTGGTCAGATCCTACATGAACTACTTAAAATTTGTCAGTTTTACCAAAACACTTTTAGTCAAATCGTCTAGGTCTATCTTTTATCGTTAGCCGTTACTGAGTTCACTATCAGCCTATCACGTAAAGAAAAAAGTCAGAAACAAAATAGCAGAGATTAACAATGAAGAATACGGATTGAAATTGTGTGAACCGATCCAAAGGAAATAACCTTTACGCTGAGATATTTGCCAAAAACAAAAGTTTTTGAATGCATAGCAAACAATATGATCACTATCTTTCAACTTTTGGGACTTTGAATCTGAATCTATTGTATGCGAAATTGCAAGCTTCTTGTGAACATTTGGCTATAAGTAACTTTGTATTTTTTTTTTGATAATCGGGAAATTAATTTCGAACTATATTCCAAACTAATTTCTGAAATATGGAAACAAGTTGATTTTTCTTGCCTTTTAAAGTACTTTCAGTGATGAATCTTGCAATCACACCACCATAAACTAGTTATTGAACTGTAACAATCAGAAATTATGATAATTAGACTAGATCAACGAACCATGCAATACCACGAGTATCCTGAATTTTCTGACGTCATAAATTTATATCGCGAAAGGGTATGTTTTTCTTTATCAAATTTATAGAACAGTATTAGTTATAATTAAACAATTTTATTGCTAGTTTGTACATCATGAGTTAAGAAGACCGAGCTGGAACAGATCTATAAGTTAAGAGATAATTGTGTCAATCAAGTTTAGAATCCGAGGTTCTATCTTATCCAACACAAAAGTCGAGTTTTGAGTCACATCGAGAAAAATCAAAAGAAATTGGATCGTTTTGAATTCTGAAAATATGAAGTGGACAAAAGCAGAGACAGTTATGTCGGGGTCTGGGGTTTGGATCTGCAATAACTGTCTTGAAACCCACAAAATAAAAAGCTTAATTAGCAGCATCGAGACACACAAAATAGACATACAATTACACTTATGTCGGTTAGAAAGAAAAAAAAAACCCTAATTATACATAATTACAGACATGTATAAATATATACATACACACACAAGTACGCTTCTCAATTTTTCTTTTTTTTGTCTTGAAAAATATATAAGTTGTTAATATGTTCGCAACACAACCATCTTAAATGACATATATGTATATATACACACACACATAAAGACATGTCAAGTTTTGTTTTTAACAAAATACATTTACGAAATCAGTTGACAATAATGCTCCTTTATCATGAACATACACTCCCTTTCATTCTAAAAGAAATAATTTTGTAGAGTTTTCACACAGATTAAAATAATAATTAATGTTTGATAAATACATAGTTTCCTCCTGTTAAACACTAGTAATTCAATAAAATCAGTTAATACTCCTTAAAATTTACACTTTATTAATATTAATTGATAAAAAAGACATACAAAAATCAATTTTAGTGAAACAAGAGAAAAAAATTTAGATAATTAATCGTTTAGAAACCGAAGGAATATAACTTGGTCGGAGATTGTTTTTCATCTAGACCTTATATATATGAGCATCAGTGAAATAAAATGTTCTCATCATAGATCCTAATAGCAATTACAAATCTTAAATACTTTTTTTTTGTTGAACACAAAATCTTATATACATATACACACGCGTAAACTCATAAAATAAAAAAAATTGACTTACAAGTGAAGAGACCACGTATTTTGAGAGGCTTTCTTGATTTAAGATCCACTTTCTTGACATGACTACACTTTCAATTGCAGATTAAAATAATAATTAATGTTTGATAAATACATAGTTTCCTCCTGTTAAACACTAGTAATTCAATAAAATCAGTTAATACTCCTTAAAATTTACACTTTATTAATATTGATTGATAAAAAATACATACAAAAAATCAATTTTAGTGAAACAAGAGAAAAAAATTTAGATAATTAGTTGTTTAGAAACCGAAGGGATATAACTTGGTCGGAGATTGTTTTTCATCTAGACCTTATATATATGAGCATCAGTGAAATAAAATGTTCTCATCATAGATCCTAATAGCAATTACAAATCTTATATACTTTTTTTTTGTTGAACACAAAATCTTATATACATATACACACTCATAAACTCATAAAATAAAAAAAATTTGACTTACAAGTGAAGAGACCACGTATTTTGAGAGGCTTTCTTGATTTAAGATCCACTTTCTTGACATGACTACACTTTCAATTGCAGATTTGATCATCAATTAATATCAAATAAATAGAATCTAGATTCTAGGGTTTATACATAAAAGTGCCAAATAGGATTAATTAAGATTAAGGTCTTGTTGATGCGACCATCAACAGGTGAAACTGCCACACATGATCTGATCTTCCCTACTGATCAGATCTATAGTGAGAAGAGAAGTTTAGATCATGCTGGCAGCTTCATCAGATGCTGGTGCAAACTAGTAAGAGAAACTACTGGGGGTACAAATTAGTTGGAGAAAGTGAGCGATATGAGAAGAGGAAGATGATGAAGAAGCTGATTTAAATAGCCTTTTATTTCTAATTATATATTTTAATGAAAAGAAATGAATCATAAGTACATGAGGGTATGCATGTAGGTCACTCAAAGGCTATGTGAGTTAGATACATGAGTGGGATTGTGGGGAATTTATTAAACTAGAGATAACAATATTGAAATAAACTCTATGTTGTTTTTTTATTTTTATTTTTTGGTAACTCTATGTTGTTCTTATGATGAATATACATTTTATGTTAAGTGGGGATAACAATTGTAACCTCTAAGTATTAAAACGTTTAGGAGTTCATTTCTGGTCTCTATGAAGTGAGTTTTTTTTGTTTTTTTCTTTTAGTTAATACATCAACTAAAAATAATAATACAATCATGAAATTCAGTAGCAAGACCACGTAAGTTCTATAATTTACAACATTTGATAGAGACTGTGCCACGAGCACTAATTAGAAATCTTTTGTCCAAAAAAGAACTTCAACAAAATATATTTTGGATAAGTCAAAATCTTTTTGGTTAAAGGGTTAATTCATTTGCAGTTGGTTGTATCATTAAAATAAGGAGGACGATATTCAAGTTTAAGAGAATAAAAGACAATCGAAAAAATAAGAATAAAGTTAAGAAATTGTTATATAAACACATCTATACATTTAATGTTGAGTTGTGGATCCGCAATGAAAAATTAGAAATCATATGTTAGAATTATTTCACATAGAGACTTTGGCAAATTTGTGAATAATATATAAGTGTGTAGCGATCATTTACTTTTGAGCTAGTTTTTAGATATAAGTTACACCATAGAAATATGGCATTATAGGTTTCAATTCTTCCAGTGTACATATGGATATCCAATCCCACAAATTTTACAATTCAGGTGTCCAATTTTGGGTGTGAAGGGTTGTATACTAGAATTGTCTCACATCAAAAATTTGAAAGATTTGTGAATAATATCTAAAAGTGTGGCAATCCTTTTGTTTTGAGATATCTTTTGGGTATGAGTTAAACCCATACTCATATCATACGATGAGACCGGATGCTCTATAAATGGAGGCGAAGCTCTCAGATTTTTCAAAGGAGTTTCATCATGAGTTTTGAGATATTTCAGGCATGTATTTGTTTGTCCTACGTTTCTTTTCTCCTTTACTATTTGTCCTCATTTCATTTTGATGTTGAGTGAATCTTTATTTGTAGTTTTTGAATTCTTTGATGATAGTAAAATTTGAAGCGGTGAAAACTGGACATAAATCTTGATTTTGTATGTAAGAATTGCTTTTATATGAAATCCAAACCCTAACATTTAAAACATTACATTGTTTTATAGGAATTATTATATACAAATATGCACTGTAATTAGTGAATTTATTCCTTAATATTTAATCAATAAATAATGAGATTGGTTGCATCAAATTGATGGCATCTAATATAATCTCAATATAGTATAGGTTATAATAAGGATTGTGACTTGTGAGATATCGTTTATGGACAACTAAGTGAAAGACAATTGTATATTAAAATATGAACTATTGCTTTAATATAATTAAGTATTATCTATGTCACTATTCAATCAACTAATTGATGCTTTTGTTTTGATCAGCACATAGTTTTTAGGTACCTTTATAGGGGTTATGATTAATGCACCAACCATAAATTATATGACACATATTATAAGAGAGATGGTAATTACGCTTCAAGTGAGCAAGGAAAAAGTTATTATTAAAATCTTTAGCTAAGAACATTCTCAATGGTAAGATACCGTTTGGGGTTTTCAAACAAAAAATAGTGTTATTTTAATATAATTATATTTTAGAATTAAATTTTAATTTAGATAAAAACTTTAAACCAATAAATAAAAAATAAATATTATGAGAGATTCTCACTTCTCACTTATGAGTATCTCAAATAAAAACTTCTCCTTCTTCTCTTTCTTATTAATTTTTTTTACCGTTAAAAACTTCATTGAAATACTATTGATGCTTTAAAAAAAATTATTATTAAGATAAGAATGTTTTTAGAGAAATCTCATCGTTGGTCTTTTAATTGAATATCTTATAATTAAAAAAAAAAATCATAATGAAAAATTGAGAAACGTTTTTTCTTTAAAAGACTTAGAAATCTCCTCTCAAATAATTATATACTAGATTTTGGACCCGCGCGCCCGTGCGGATATATAATTGTTGAATTATAATAAAATATGTATTATATATTATATATATATAGTGTTTAGTATGAAAAATAAAATAAAAAATATAAATTTAT